AATCAATGTAAGATAATGCATGTGGGTTATCATAATTTGAATTATAAGTATAATTTGGATGGGAATAACCTTAACATTGTTATGGAGGAAAGGGATCTTGGTGTAATAGTCGATCAGTCTCTAAAGCCATCCAAGCTGTATGCTGTTGCTAGTGGAAGGGCAAACAGGATTTTAGGTTGTATCTACAGAAATTCTGAATATATGTCTAAAGAGGTTATGTCATTGTACAGTCACTAGTTAAGCCACATTTGGAATATTGTGTTCAGCCTTGGGTGGAGTGGTTGTCATACAAGGAAAGGATGAAATATCTCAAATTGTTTTATCTTGATAAAAGAAGTTTTTTTTGGGGGGGGGGGTCTGATTGAGGTGTTTAAGATTTTACAGGGAATTGATAGTGTTGATGCATCATCTTTTTTCATATTTAACAGTGAGAATAGTAGAACTAGGGGACACAAATATAAATTTTGGCAAGGTAGGAGTCATCTTCAGCTAAAAAAGTTTCATTTTTCTAACAGTAACAAGGTGGTTGGCCTTCGGTTGTTGTAGAGGCAGTAAATTTAAGTGCGTTTCATAAAAAGCTTGTTAAGTATATGAATGATAAGGGTTGGCTTTAATATTTTTTATTATTATTTCAATTTGGTTTAGAGGATGGAACAGCCGAGATGGATGGTAATAGGTCCCATGTTGTCCCAAAACATTATGTTTTGTTATTGTTAATTTAACAATCGTAGTGTGTTTAGTTCCTTCTGTTTTACAATGACTAAATTTTAAAAAAGTCTTCAGTCATACAATTCATAATAATTTTTAAAGTTGTTTATACAATTACTTAAACAACCACATACAAAACACTTGCCATTATTTGAACCATCCTTATTTATTTCTAATGCCGCACGCGCAACACGTGCAACAATATCTTTTTCACGAGCTTCCGATATGTTCATTAAACATGACGCGAGTGGAATTCCTCGTTTAAAGGTGCACGTCATGTTAAATAATAATAATTTTTTAAACGTTGGATTATAACCTAACCCCTCCCCCCCAAAAAAACAAACTTGAAAGGTAAGTTTCTTTAAAAATTTACACTAAACCAAATAATTTTACTATTTCTCATTATTTTGGCTGACACGTGTTTTAAACAACAACGCTACCTATCTTTTTTATTAAAAATTAAACTCGTTATTTTATTAATATTATTATGTTCACATATTAAGTTTCATAAATTAGAAACTATTTCCTGTGCATGAGTTATTGTTCGTTGCCTAAATTAGTTTGCTTTAGTGCTAATTAAAGAATAAATTATTAGAAGGGTTTTAGAAAACATCCGAACATTCTAATCGAAACTATGCTAAAGTGAATTAAAATCTGTGATGCCTTATTGAAGACAATTCATAAACTGTACATAAAAATATACGTATATAACCAAGTTTGATTTAATTGCTACTGTACAATACGAAAGCTTTTAAATCAAAGATTGAATGCGAAACTCTCTTTCATTTTAACAGTGTGGTATATCCAAGTGAAACTATATTAGCTTTAGTTTAGAGCTATGTTCGATAGAGTGTCTAGACAATTGCTGTAACTTACTCGAACCGATTGCCTTTACTATATATTACAAGAATTACTACTTCAGACCACTTTTTAGATCGTACCAACTAAATATGGTTCCTGATCAAGTGCAGTGTTCCTAAGTTAATTCGCTAGAAACCTCATATTTACCTAGAGTGACTTGTGGTACCCACATGATTGGTCACTATCATTACAACATAGGTGGATCCGTAATATTACCGCAAGATAGAAATGCACAGTATATTGAAGAATCACATTTCCTATCTTACATACTTCAAGATTGTGTTAACCCTTTTATTGCCCTTGGAAACACACGCCACACAGATATCACAACCCTTGAACAAATAAATCCAATACAATTATAAAAACGTAACAACACAATACCAATAAATAATGAAGTGTATTACATAAATCATGTCAAATACCCATAAACAAAGAAAATTAAATGCATATTAAACATTATTGCGGAAACCTTTTAGTTAGAAATAATATGCACAATACTAAATATATTCTTTAACATGGAAATAATATATAATTAAAAATATACCCTCACCAGAAGTGTATAAAATGAGAGGGTACGCTGAATAGGAGCCTATTTGGGGGCATATCATCTGCTGATGGCGCCCCCATAACTCGCAAACAACAACAACAACAAAAAAAAAAAAAAAAATAGGAGCCTGCAGCCTTATAATAGCTTGGATATGAAGGGGTTTGTTTGTTTGTTTAATTTCGCGCAAAGCTACACGAGGGCGGGGATTCGAACTCGCGATCAACATATTGCGAGTCGAGCGCCCAAACCACCTGGCCATGCCGGGCCATATGGGAAAATTCGTCGGGCAGGCCATATACTCTGCGCTATACCTCTGTTCCTAACAAATGCAATCGCTCGCAACTAACATAAAATCTTTAACGATGATACATAATTTAATGAAAAAAAGAAACCATTTTAATAAAGAAATCCGATATATAATCAAAAATCCTTGAACACTGAATTAAAGCATAAAACAAACCATATAATAAAATGATATACGTTATACAAGAAAAATAAAACCCTCTACTCACAGCATTCAAAAATGAGCGCTTTATCACTGGTTCAAACACATTAAGAATAAGCCGAAACTTTTATATAAACAAAACATGCTTAATCACCACTTACAAAAAAAATCCTTTATAATTCAGAATGTATAAAACTAACCCTTCAATATATTCATTGAAATATTGTTAATATGGTAAATTAATCTTTAACATTATAAAACCAAGCAACCCTTAATTTAAAAATCAGTAACCTCTTCACATGAACTCAAAACCTTTTAAATTGAGAAAAGTGAAAAAAGAGTCACTAATATATTTCCAAAGACAATCACAGTGAATTGCTTTTCCTTCTGGATTCTGTACGCCACGTTGAGTCTTTTTAGTACAACATATAGCCCTTCCTAACATCTTCTTAACTCTGCATTTCATTATTTCATGTAATTGGGATTGTAAAGCTAAATCATGCTGCCTCGATGGAATACAGTCTTATTAGCAATCATATCACAGTAACTTTTCATTTTATCACTTGCTGATTCAAACCTTTCCTGGATAAAATCATGTATGTCATCATTGTTATTCTTTACTCTCTCTGCATATTTTAGCTAAAATTATACTGAGTGTCTGTCCTCTGCATATAAGTACAGAATGTTCAATGACACTTTAAGTCCTATCCCAAGCATCAGTGTGGCTTCATATACTGCTGTTCGATTAGCAGTAAAAGATATTTATTCCATGCTTTCTAATGCTCATTCACACAAATGGCTAACTGGTTGAAAAATGTATGTATCTCTATATCTTCACTATGCCATTGGAAGAGGAATGAAGGACTATTGTCATCTTCTTTTCTATTTCAAAAACTTGACATATTTCTGCAAACTAAGCTGATACAGAGTTTATTCCTGATGTTAGTGCACCCCAAATCTTAGAGAGAATTCATTGGCGAATTTTTGTTTGCTAGAATTTTTTGCTTCATGGTTAGGAACAGCACATGTTTCTGACCATCTGGTGAAATAGTCGATCACAACTATGATGTATTTATATCCATTGTGGCAGAAGACCAGGCAGTTCTACTGCAAAACTCTCAAGGGGTACTCCAACACAATACTGTTGTAGTTGCCCATGTTGTTTCTTTAGCGAGCAAAATTCATAGGATTGACACCAATTCTCTGCATATCACCGGGACCAAGCCCAATCAAAATACTCTCTAATGTCTTTTTAACACCTAAGTGCCCGGCTGTTGAAAATTTGTGGAAATGAAGGAATGTTACGGAATCTAGAGACTGTGGAAGTACCAACTGTAGTCACTGTTTCTGCCCACTGGTATCTTTCCATTACCGACGTAACAATTCCTCGTATTAGCAGAATGAATCCCACTATCCATATTAAACCTTTGTCTTTAGGCCACGTGGCAAAACTATTTGACATGAGAGGTTTCTCATATTATTTTTGATCCATTGTATAATTGATTTCAAACTCATATCTTTATCTTGAACACCGTTTAGTTGAATGTTGGAACACATTACTTCTTCATCAGCAATTGTTTATGTCACATCTTGGAATATACTCTCTTGTACTTTTGATTGGTCATCTTTACTACCTTGTGATTCCATCTTCTTACAGTACTTATACTCTTCTTTAATACATAGTCTTCATAATACGCATCAGAATTTCCATGGTTTTAATGGATTATGCACGATGTTAAAGTGGTACTCCTGAAGTTTCTCGAGCAATTCTGCTATCTTGCTTTCTAGATTACGGAAATTCACCAGTCACTTTAATGCTACGTGATCTGTCCAGATTATAAACGTTTATCCATATAGATAACGATGAAAATGGTTTAGAGTTTGAATAACACTCAGTACCCTCTCCAAGTTTTACAATACCTCTTTTCTGCAGCATTCATTGCTTTGCTACAGTAGACAATCACATTTTATTTTATATGTTACTGCTCCAACTGTAAAATCATTAGTATCTGTTACTAATATGAGGTCTTCAAGAGTTTGGTATACTAATATTAACAGGAGTAAGGGTAAGTTCTTTCTTTAGCTCGTTAAATGCTTAATCTGTGTCCAAACTGAATTGAAAGAAAAATATACATTTCTAAAAATTTGTAGATTAACTAAGGAAGTAGCTAACATCGTATCATCCTATACCACAACAATAAACATTACTGAATTTATAATGATGAAACTGAATAGTCCCACTCCACTCATACCTCTGAGGGAAGATCATAGACATTATATAAGGGAGAACTACACTGGACGTAAACCACATGATCACGTCTAATTATATGATTATCACTGCCAATCGCACTTGACAATAATGTTAAATATCGAACACACGTCATGCAGTGTCGTTAACACGTATAAATAAAAACGTTTAGTCTTATTATGTTCGATCGGACGCCTTTCGTCAAGCGCCCTCACCCTCTCGGTAGGTCAGCGGTAAGTTTACTGACTTACAACATTAAAGTTCGGGGTTCAACTCCTCCCCATGATGGATATAGCGCAGATAGTCCATTGTAAAACTTTGAACTAAAAAAACAACAGCAGCTTTTCGTCAGGCAGTAAATGCCGTTTTTCTACATAATAATGCTCGATGAATGTTGTCCGCCCGAAACGTTGCACATACTAAAACCATATTAAATTACTACTTTTTAATTTATCCTTCTTTCCCTTTTACCCAAATTGTTTCTGCTCACGTCAATTGGAAAAATATTCATTTGTAGTTCCAACTTCTCTGTGTGGTCTTACAATTTGAAAAATTTGAGAGTATCTATAAGACAATCATTTGGATAATTTAGAACGACAATATTAATAGAAGTTCCCCCTGCTGTTAAAGATGTTTGTTCCATTCATGCAAGATCTAAATGCTTTCCTCGCGTTAATGTGTTGTCAAGATAGTTCTTTTTTGGACAGCAAAACACATCTAGTGAGTGAAAAGGAAAGGTTGAACATGTACATATTCCACTCAGTCAGATTCTAAGCCTCTTGCACGTGTTGCAGAAAATTAGTTAACATTTTCCCCTTCTAAAATGTCTTATTTACAATGTTGCATTTCTTGTACATCCATGTCGTGTGAGAAATAGCATACCGTTCACAAGCAACTCTATTTCCTTACAGTTGGAAATCAAACAAACTAATTAATGTTGGTTTCGTCAGTTCACACGTTCATTCATTGAAACACTGTTCGCAGATAATTCCAGCATACTTCAACGTTACTAGTTTCAACTATTTCTCTCTGCGTTGGAGTATGTTCGAATTTTCGACACTTAACCCTTCTCTTTTGCACACGCAATACCACTTTCTGTTAAACTACTCTCTCCAACTCGTTTTCTCTATTGACATGTCTCATTTACGTCAACAGGTGTCTCTGTGTCTAACACTTAGTCACAGCAAGGAATAAAATTGTCTTTCAATCTGGAGTTGGGTTTTAGATATATCCTCCAGAGGAATGCTCGGAGACAGCAAAATGACAAATCCTTCTACTCTGTTGGGTAAGTTTAGATTGGCTATATCATCATTTGGTAACCTGGACAGAATGTAATATTTTCAAAGTGGACTCGTTGCTCGAGTCCAGATGAATCATCATTGGAGAGTCCATAATTAGGTTCTGTAATTATTTAAGTTGTGTAAACCTGAATGTCAACTCCTGTTGTTCATAATGCAAATCGTTTTTTAAATCACTTTAGAAAAAGTTCTTCCACCAAGACTGACTTTGAAATACACCCAGTTACAGAACATGTCATTCTCCAGCTGCTTGATGTATGTGACATTTGAACAGAAAGTATGGCTGGAAGCCTTATCTTGGTGAACCCATATCCTGTTGGCCTCGTTTCTGACGGAGATCCTTCTTTATTATGTTGTGTTGTTATTGTCTGGGGCAGATGAATGAATTTTACCATTGACCTTTGTGTTGTTTGTGGATTCTTATCTCTTACATGAAACCGTACTTTGCTTACAACGACTTGTTGCGGGTCTCTTTCTGGTTGATCCTAGTGATCCCATATTCTTTTGTTTTCCAATGCCATAAAATATAAGGGATATTCATATTCTGAATATTTTAAATCCTCTTCCTGAACACATTTTTATGATCTGAGTGGAAGCATATTTTGATTCATAAAGAGCTGTTGCATACCCTTTCCAAAAGCAATCCATTTTTGATGGCATCACACTACCAATGAAACAGCAATGTCGGAATCTAATTTTTATACATGCCATTCCTTCCTGGCCCTGTATTGGCTGTGATTGTCAATAATACTTATTTGCATATTCAAAATTGTTTGAATAGAACCTACTCAACCCTGTGTGTATACTTTTATCATCTCTTTAAGATCACTTCCACAGGAAATGGTAAACTATGCATATACTAGAACAGATATGTATCTCACAAACATTGTTCGTGTTCATTATTTACTATTACAAGCACTTGATGCATATACATCAATCTTTATAAGTATTTATGTGTATAAAAACTGCATCAAATGTAAGCACGAGAAGTTTATCCGAAAAGTTTTTTTTCTTAATCATAGTTATAATTCACACACTTGATTAATGGATGCTCTTTTGTAAGAAAAGATTGGCTTTTTGTTACGTTAACAGCTTCAAGGTTTCTTGATTTTTACTATGGATATATTTATTTTTGTATACATAGTGACACAGTTACATTACTTACTCAAACTGTGTTATTTTATTATTCAAAACTGAAGGTACCTAAATATATATATATATATAAGAACTTCTTGTAGGATTTTACTAATACTTCTATCCATAATTTTACTCATGCAAGGTAAAACAAATACTCAGTTTATGACCAAATATAAAAAATAAATTTTACAATCTACAAACCAATCTTTACTTTTTCAATCCTACAATTTTCTTAAATATTTTAACCACCACAAACAGACTGAATATCATAGATAACGTTATAGTTTTATTCAGAAAATACAGTACATATCATTTACATGTTAAAGAATCTTTCAAAGGAAAAGTCATAAAAACACACCTACAAAATACTGACTTGGAAATAAATGGGAGAAATAATAAAACATATTCCTTGTTTCAGTGATAATTAAAACATTTTATATATAATTACTGATCTTAATGAATGAACTAACATGAGTGTTGTCATCCCTTATTAAATATATCTTCACTAAACTCTCAGTACGAATGTATATGGCATGTTTAAATTCTTGAACCCTATTATGTGACATTCATGTGATTCTTTAAAACGTTTACAGAATATAGCAAATATCCTTTCACAAATTGATAAGAGCATATTCTGTGAGTCTTACATTCCAATTCTTCATTTTTTTTCTCCTTTGTTTTTTATGCTGTTTAGTTTCGCTATTTCTACAAGTGTTGACATAACCAATATACATTAAGGAACATGTATTTAAAAATTATTCTTCAAATATCCACAGGCTGTTATAGTATTTTATGTTCTGGTTGCTTCACTACATAACATTTAAGATTTTTTTATCCTAAACATAAACATTAAACAACAAAAGAAAAAAAAATCAAAAACCAAAAGAATACAAGAAACTTTAAAATGTTATGACATCCGCTACTACTATTACAATTTTTTTCAAAACAAAAAGCAAATTATTAAAATTTCTGGTTCAGAATATATTCTAAAACAACTGACCTATTTTCAAATATTCATTGTATACAACCCAGCCAACAACAACAAAGGCAATCCCATTAAATATTTACAAGTACTTCCACAAACAGAGAAAAGGATATTGAGTATTGTTATTACAATAACGTAAAAAAAATTAAAATAGTTTAAGTTTTAGCAGCTATGAATATGTACATTCAAAATGTTTACCAATAGTGATAGTAATAGCAACAAAAACACATGGGCAGGGACATGTAAAGAAACATTAAATCACTACATTAGGCAAAAAAAGAAAATTCTGTATAATAAACTAATCCTGCAGCTGAAAAAATTCATAGGATTTGTTTGTTTTTTTTTCAATATATTTCATTATACATTCACAAAAATCAGCATTTAGTTCATTAATCAACCACAGATCTTTAAATAAAAAATTTAAATAATTAGCAAATCTACTGATTCAAAGCCTTAAAATATTTTCATACCAAAAAACTAGATATCAGTGGAAGCACATCTTTATTGAAGCTCATTTTAAGGAGTACTAGAAGAAATATGCAATTTTTTACGTTAACTATTGAATACATTATAGCACAGTGCTAGTCATTAGTGCTTTTTATGGTAACTAGTGGATGATTAGATGTGAAAAAATTTAGATGTTTTGTGACATGTAAAATAAATAAGAAGGTATGATGTCATGAAATTTTTTATTTAAGCATCATTACCAGTAATAAGCTGGATATTATACTAACCTTCAATAATAACTCTGTAGTTTATAAATCAAAATGTATTATTAAAAAACAGAAATGCAAACTCAGGCTTGTTTTTTTTAACTTTAGTCAAGTCCTTAGCTTAGAACTTTCATGCAGTCTAAGCCAGTATAAAAAAGAATTATATAAAGGACTGAGTTTTATTTTTTGACTGATAATATTAATTACACTGGAATACACTAACTGGTTTATATGCATACCAACTGCTTTCTAATTCAACTAACATTAAATTTCTACAACATGAAACTTGCATTAGGTGCTTCCTATATTTACTGTATAGTTTCAAACTCCCTAAAGTATGCTCAGTCATCTGAGAAATATATCTGAAATATAAGCAGACAAAGATTAGATACCAACACCATGAAAAATAGCAGTAAGTAATTTGTTGTAATTTTCAAAGTTTGGTAAAACAAAACAAAACTGTACAGTGTTTCTTAAACACTGGAAATAACTTTACTTAGTGCAGTTTTTCAAAATTGCAGGCCTACATTGTCACCAGCATGCTGAACATAGCTTTTAAGTTTCCTTACAAAAATGTATATTCCCAAAGGCTTCAGAGAGCCTTAGAATTTGCACTCTGATCATATATCTTTCAGTAACAAATGCATTACACTGTCAAGTTATCCTACTGTGATTCTTAGATGGTAAACAACTTTATCCACCTATGTTAAAATTTTGTGCATATGACTTCTCTTAACTTCTAAAGGGAGTGTAAGCATGACATAATATTTAATTTACACATCAGTTAAGCTCTAAAGTACATGCCTGTCATTCTACAGTATTATGGAAGACACAAATAACTCACTCAAGTAGATATTTTAAAATTAAACTAATATTTTTATATCTAGACCCAATTTCAAGCAACTCATTAAGAATAAAGAATGTTAATATACTTTAATTCTTACAGAAATGTTTAGAAAATGTATACAACTGTAAAATAAGATTAAAAAAGTCAAAAACTAATTTTATTATAACACACAGTTTTGTATTAAACATAACCCCCTGGGCTTAATGTTAGTAAGAGCATTCATCACAGGCCAACAACAATTTGTTATTTACTAAATGTACGACTTAGTCTTACTATAACACACATTTCAAACGAGATATTAAAAACGAAGGTACATAACCAAAAAGTAATTTTTCATGTGTCTCATTTCCACTATGCCTACTTTTCATACCTCCTTTCTATTGTTGAATTACTATTTGTAGGTAAGGTATGTCGGCTAAATGCACCAATACATTCTAAGTTGTCCTGTGTTATTTAACATATTACTTATATCCATCTTGGTCATCATAAGACAAATACAAATCAACATTATCATTTTGTAATACAGGTGTCATTTATCTAAAACATATAAAAACACTGTATTGAAGTATCAAGTAAGGCAAGACACTATGTTATAAAACACATCTCTCTAACTGAATTAAGAACACAGCACAAGATGCAGTTCTTATGAAGCATTAGGCTCCATCCTGACCACCTAAAAACAAAGTGCAGGAATCGATCCTAACAAAACATGAGGTTCCATCCTATTCATTTTAATACACAACATAAGATATAAAAAAAAAGACAGCTTTCTAATTATCTTAAAACTAAAGAATATTTATATATTATTCTAACCTGCATTAACTGCATAAAACAAATACAGAAAAGAACCATGTAATGAACATAACAATTTCATAACTTTTGAATAATTCAATGTTCTTCACCTAACATATCCTGTGTGATAATTCACACATTGTACAATATGGTGTTTCTAAATGTTTTAATTCTATCAGATAGTAAACCAGCTTTACAAGTTAACCCATGCAGTAAGCATTAACTTTACAGAAAAGTGCAAGACTCCCAAGTCTAGAAATTAAATAACATTACAAATGAAGTAATTCTGTACATTAATCTAATTTTTTAATTCTTTTAACACTTCATAAAGATGCTTTTACAAGGTTTATAAAAAGTAGGATTTCTTTGAATTGATTTACCTTAAATTCATCAACATGGAAGACTGTTGTTTCAGAAATAATATAATACTCAAAGATTTTTATTAATTCTGAAACAACACCCTCCCATGTTGATGAACTTTAGGTAAAGTAACTCCGAAAAATCCCATTTTTTATGAACCATAAAAAAGTAACTTCAGTTCACAAAAATTCAGATGTGTTTTCGTACAGAGTAGAATAACTTTTGTTAATAAATCAGAAATGCTAGAAATTCAGATGATCTCTCGATACACAATTGTTTTAATTAATAAAAATCTAAATAATGAATAAACAAATCTATTCCTAAGGTCAACCATTCTATTAATAAATGGTACATTAACAGATTAGAATGACATACTAATAAAACACCTTACATTTATCTTTACTAAATTTTCAAAATATTAAAAAACCACATATCAAACAGGTGTTTCCTCCATTATCTAATCTTTTGGGTAAAAATGAATTAATATACAGAAGTTCCAGATGCTGAAATTCTTTTCATTTCAGAGGCAAAAAAAAAATGAAGCTTGTAATATCATATAGTTAAAGGAACAGCTCTAATGAATATTATAATAACAGTAACACAAATACCTGTACAATTTACATATATATGTCTATTTCAAATATTTTTTCTTCCTTTCAAGACAAAGCTTTTCTGGTTAACAAATAAAAAGTTCTCAATTTACAAATCTGGAAAAACACATTTAAAACAGTTGCACTGAATACTGAAAAAGTTTTACTTATAGATATAAAAACTACTTGTTGATCTTAGGTTTTAAAAAGATAACTATTTTGAATAAATTTCATGGTTAATTTCTATTCTAAAAATTTATACTAAAATATATAATTCTTCTAGATGAAATTTGTTCAAAAAAAACATCCTACCACTAGAATAGTTCTTGAAATCAAAACTCTTATAAGACTGGTGCTACCAACTGAATTGTGTGTTTACATACAAAAAATCCATTAATTCCATCTTTAAAAATTAAAAGCTGTTCAGTTTTATATAAAAATACAAACACTAAGATGGTGAATTTCATTTAGTGTTATTATTTAATTATAATGTACAGAAGAGTCTAAAAACAAAGCACTTGTCAGACACAGACAAGAATATCAGTTAACAAAATAGAAAAGCCTTCGTGATGAAGGGGAAAATATTGTACATGCTTACAATCAACTATTACTAATCAACTGATACATCAAACACAGTTGACATCACTGGTAATATCTAAGAAAAGCAGTAACTAACACAGCAAAATTAAAAAAAGTGTCTATTTACAAGAACATTTTTTTTTTAATTTGTTCATTAAACCTTCTGCAGAGGGCACAAACATTTCTTTCATGTACCAACCATATCTAGGTGATATAAAACACAAAAGAACATTGGTTAAAAATTAAGTTAACTAACACCCATAATATTTTTAACGCCATTTAGATAATAAGTTCTTCACGAATGGTTTAGCATGTTTAGTTGACTCACCTAAACATGACTCTGCTGATTGAAAAGCATTTTCCATAAATCTCATATCAAAACTAAATTACTAAGGAGGATAATAATGTATTTCTAAACTAATTTCTGTAGGACACTTCCTGCAACATTTGTGCAAGGAAATTATTCAAATTACAAGCTAGCTTTTGTGCTTGAAATACAATGGTTTAGTAGAAATTCAATATCAAATTTTATCTTACCCTTTTAGTTTCTTCATTTCTTACAATGAACTCTGACCACTTTTTCACTTGGAACAATATTTCTATGTGACCTCCAGATTTTAAAAAGAACCATAGATGAGCAAGCTCCTCATTTATTGATTAATATGTTAACTTAACATGAATTATCTTATTTTCTCGCTGTCATTAGCAGTTGTACAAATTAATGTCTGATATAAAACAAAACAAATAAAATCTTTCCAACAATATAAAGATATTTTTGATTATTCAATCCATGGTAACTGCTTAAATTGCAAATACTATGCTAAAGACAACACCTTAGATTTTGGTATGACTTCACTTCTTTCTAATCATTTGTAAGAAAATCATAAAATTCTAAACACATGAATTCTTATTTAAAGTGTGCTAGTACAAAATTTCTTTCTATATATTCTTGAAGTTAAGGCTAATTTGAAACTTTTTAAATTTAGTTTTATTATGAAACAAAATAAACGTACATCCAGTGACTTCACACCTATTTTTTATGCCTAAGTATTAAGAGCTCTAAATTCTACAAAATAACATTGTGTAAGAAAATTTTTTGAAATGCAAACCTTAACATTAAAAAAATTCTCTTTATTAAAGAGAGATGTGAAAAATGAGATACTAAAAGAAAGATTTACATTAAAACTCCCTTTTGATGGTCACATATAATGTTATAGTAAGAGTGACTTATGCAAAACTTTGTTGTGAACAAATTCAGAAATAAATCAAAAAGGTTTAACTAGGGAACACAAAAAGGTATCTTATTTTAACAAGGGACATAATTGGTATTTTATTTTAACAGGTCATAACTAATTGACCTGTTCGGGACTATATAAGAGAAGGAAACCATGATTTTCTGAACTGTATTTTGAGTTTCTTACCAAGTTACTCTGAATGGTGAGTGTCCCGTTCTTCTAGATTATGTAAAATTGTGTGTCCTTGTCTTTTGTGTTCCTATGAACTGAGTCTTGTCCTTTTAAACATCTCTTAGCAGTCATAATAATCATTTGAAGAAATAAACTTCAGACACACTCAACATTAATCATTTCTTTTATCCTAGCAAATGTTTAGGACTTTGCCATGATGGTTTATGGCTCTTCACTACTTTATAGCATCTATAAAATAAAGGTGCCATTGTAGAAATGTGTAAAAGTTTTGGATGGTGTAAGTAAGCAGCACCATAGTACAAGTCATGTGAACGCAAAGTTAAGTCCAGATTATTCTCAGAGCTGCTTTAAATATAATATTCCTGGCTGGATAGTATCAGGTTACTTTTTAAAGTGTGCTTTAGAGAAGGCTTAGATAATCTTTGTAATTCTGTGTCAGAAATGTTTTAAACCTAACTTAAAATAATCAAGTAAAAGTATCTTGTACCTTTCTAATTTCTAATCTGTTTTCTTATAACCAAAATATGGTTATTATTCAATTTTTTAATGTAAGTATTAGTGTTTAAATGAATTGTAAATTGGGAGATCATTGCTATCAACATTGATAGTAGTATTAAAATAATTAAATGTGATTTGTCAACTTCTCTGTTCCTACGTGTTTTTCAACTATCATGAAAATAATTACAAGATCACTGTTGTTAAGAGTGTGGCAACAAAATAGTGTGTGTGTTTAACATTAAACACTTGGATGAAAAGACTATATTGGCTGTGACCAAGTCCATTTTCAAAAAGTCAACAGATTCAGTTTAGTCATTTTGGCATCAGTCATGGTTTAATGTATCGTTAGTAGTTAGTGTGTCATAGTGTTCTAGTCAACTGGCTGGTCACTCTTATGCTAGACAAAAACAGTACTGCTGAAATAAACTGAAAATGGTAAGGAAGGTGCATAATGATACTTGTAAGTGGCCGTGTACTTTCATTCATTCATTAAGCGAAAAAATAGGCCTAACTTTGCACTTGTGAACTCAAAAGGAAATATTGAATGAGCTATTTTAAAAATCACCTTTATTATTGTAATATACCTACCAAATTTTAATTCAATAATGTATGGCTCACAAATACCAAGTACAATGACCGACTGCAGTGTGTGTGGATACTGATGATAAGCCTTAAATGTTTCATACCTCTTCTTTTATGCCATATAAAAGAACAAAAACAGTGGATCTACAGTAAATTTACAAACTTTTTCCATCAAATTATTCCTCATAGGTACTGATTAATGTTCACCCTCAGCAAGCCAGTGGATATTTTGGAGAAATGGTTAGGTTAGAGGCTCTAAGAGTTTAGGTCTAACCATTTTAATTTTGAACTACTGACCAAAGGGAAAGCAGCCAATTAGTAGCTCCAAAGGTTTTGTCCAGGTCTAAACTGCACAATAGGATTGCTCAAGACACTGAAACCCCAAAACCCCTAACTAAAAAGCCATGCTTAGCTCTTCTCTGTTTCAAAGAATATTCCCTGATAGCATAATAGCTCAGAACATTGCTCAAGAAAAAAAAATGCAAGTACCTGATTGTTTTGGATCAGTTCTACAGTTTAAAAAATTAAAGATCAGGATGACTACATAATCTTATAAGACAATATCTAAATAACAAATATACACGTCAAGTAAATTCAAATGTATATAAGGAAGTAGGAAATAAACCAATTCAGCGCTAAATTTTTATCATCACAATTTTTTGGGGTAAGCTACTGTTTATGGTACAATTCATTACTTTCTTAAGCCAAAGATCTTAGCTCTCAATAACACGATTAAAAAATCTAAAGTGAAAAGTTATTTGAATGCTAGCCTGTTGAGTCTAAAATATTGTAGACTTCATACAATATAGATCAGAAGATTAATAAACTATTAAACAGTTGGTATTAATATTTTAAAGCCAGTCCTGCAACTTGTGAGGGTTACAGAAACATAACTAGAGAAATAATTTTTTCCCCTTATAATTCTGTAAGAACAAGAGGTTAGAAAATTGATTTTAGCTATTTGTGCAAAGCTACTGAAGACCTATCTGCACTAACCATCCCTAATTTGGAACTGATAGACTAAAGGGAAAGTAGCTAATCAACAGCACTTACCACCAGCTCTTAAGCTACTCTTGTCTGAGTGAATAGTGGGATTTGGTCACTGCCTTATAACATACCCATGGCCCCAAAGTACAGAGTATGAATTTTTTCTTTGCATTAAGAGGATACTAACAATGGACCCACAGATCTACCGTATGCCAGTTAGTGTAAAAGCAATAAAAGAAAAAAAGGATTTTTGATCTCATGATCAAATCCTTTTACACAATCAAATAATATTACAGTGATACACTAATTTGTCCCAAAGTAGCGCTCTTTCAATCAGTGGTTTATACCTGACAACTTAATAAATTTATAAACCCGTTGTATACTTGTTTGTTCTGATCTTGAAAATACTATTAAGTGTGTTATTACCAGATTCTTGAAAGATAATGTTACAGAAGTAACTAGAGCAACACAATCTCTTTAATATCAAAATAGACCCTTGTGATTAAAAAAAAAATCAAAGCTGTCAAACAAGTTAGATTGAAAATAAATACCATACTGAGTGAACTGAAATCATTAGAGAATGAAGTGTACTACAATTCTATGAATTTAGGGTGGAATGTGAGGAATTCCTAGTAAAAGTAATCAAAATACCATAGAGAAAATAACCATCAAGCACTCACTTGCTATAAATTGTGAGCAGAAACTGAAAATATCTCTTCACCCTTTTATTGCAGCTAACCAGCTATAGGGTGATAACTGTATGACATTTCAAACAATGTAGTAATACTAAACACTGATGAAGTTGTGACTTCAAAATATATCAGCAACTTTATTTATGCCAGTGTCAAAGTTCAATGAAAAAATAGCAAATTATGCTATTTATGTAAATCTGTGGGTCACAGGCAAATTACTTCTTGTGCTGTCTCATACAGAAACTTCTATGGAGCAAGGCCTTTCCATTAACAGCAGGAAATTGAAAACATGTTGAAGGAGCTGACCAAACTAGATATGTGATGACATGCTAAATGTGAACACTGACAAACCTGATTTTCGCTGCAGTTAGTGTAAGACAAAAAAAAATTTTAAGGTTAAAACAAAAAAGACATTTATGATGACACTGATGAACTTAATGAAATGTAGGTGTATACAGCAGAATTACAAAAGTCTGCTGAGAGTTTTGCAGGTAAAGCAGAGTTTCAGTTTACTTAGTTATCTAAATCCAATATACTTAGATGTTTTGATAAAGATAAATATTTGGTGTTAGATGTTGAGAAAACTAGATCAAAAGTTAATTGAACTAAAGAACAAGTGTAAAGACAGGGCAGGTATATTTCTACATTTTAAGTTCCTTACTTCTAACTGGATTTATAATCTCTGTGCAGTGAAAACTGCTGAATGTCAGAACTTTTTGTCCATAAAAGTTTTGAATTCTGATGCTTAAGATCCTTGAAATTTTACTTGGTAAACAGTGAGAACCATGATTAAGATACTCCGAGTTGCCTTGCTTTTTAAAATACAGTAAAACAGTAAAATCAGAAGTGCACAAAATATTGAATAACAAAATAGATTGAGTTTTTAGCTTAACCAAAAATGTTTAGTAGAGTTGAGAGATTTAATTGATAGGCTTTGCTTGAGATTAATTCTTCCCAAAATTAATTTAAAAAATTTATATTAAGTGTAAAGTTATCAAGTTTAACTTCAGTTTTGAAAAACAAAAAAATTATTGAAACTTGTTTCTTAATTAGTCAAAACAATTATCAATGTTTTGAACATTACATGAATAAAACTTCAAGAAACCGAGGAAAATGTTCTTAAATAAACAACTGACAAACAGTGATGGAAGGAAAGTTTGGCCTAACAAAGAAAGAAGCTGTCTAAAAACAGATGAGATTTTAGCGACTCAGTAAGCTATTACATAGTATTATTCTAGTAAAATAGTCTTTGAAGCTTTAATGACTAACTCCAAAAATTATTTCACATTATAGTGACTAAAATCCGGCACTCAAGAGTGACCAAGTGGCTAAAGGATAAATTTGTGTACAAGACTGATACATGGAAAAATAAATTCCAACTTTTGTACAACACTACAAGCTAAGTGCACAAATGCATCACAAATTTTTCTGTTATTTATCATCAAAAAGTGAACATATAAATATGAACGTAAATTTCTATTGGCAGGCTGCATTGTTAAAAAATGCACTCTTTCACTTAGCCCATCTTACACTTTTAAGTACAAACCTTTGTTTGTTTTCATTATAATATTGCTTGTTTTGATTACAACTAGAAGATATGCTAAATGTTTTTCTTTCAGTATGTAAATTTTGGACTGAATAAGTTGTCAGAGAAAAAGAAATTTTAATAAAAAAAAATTCTGTACTTTCAAAAACATATACATGTATATATAAAATCACAGTAGGCTTAGTCTTTTAACACTCAAAGTTCTAAAGGCTCTACTTTTTTTTTTTTAAGATAGATAAATCAAAGGTAGAAACTTGCACAGAAACACTTACATGTTAGATACAAGTGTTATATATATATAGATATATATACTTTAATTACTCTGTATTCACACAGTCTGATGATAATTCCTACATAAAGACACAATTAAGAAGGCTTTGCTTTACTTTGATTCACAGCGACCTTCTGTGAGCACTTACATCATCGTTACTGTGAAGAGGTGGGGGAATTTGGACATAAACGTTCAGTAATCTACTGCCCATTCATTATCTGCAAGAAAAGCATCTACCACCTCTTTCATTGCAAAATTTGGTATCAATTGGTCCTGAGTCAGAGGCGTACGTGTCACAGGATCAAAATGCCCAACTCTCTGTATTGAGACCAAAGATCCACTATTTAATTTTACATATAGAACAACACTAGAACAAAAAAAAAAAAAAAATATTGGAAAAAAATATTCAAATATCAACCTGTTTTTAAGACACATACAATGAAATAGTAATTTCATACAACTGAAATTATGGTATACCAAATTATTTTAAGAATAGCTATAAACAATACATTCAATGTTTTACAGTTGTAAATCTAGGTAGTCTATATGTGAAAAGAAATCTTTTAATTGGAGAATTATTTATATTTTGAAAAACTTAAATAATGTACACAAAAGAGTATGTAAAAATTTTAAGTTCTTCAGAACATATTTACATATGCCAAACATGTGACTATTGTAAACTAACACAGAGTAGTGTGTGAGTTATAAGCACATATTTTTGCATTACTTTATTCATGAACATCCAGTCTTAAAGCAAAAAAAAACAAAACGATTTAATACATTTTTACTTAACCATCAACAAGTCAGCTTATACCTGTTTCTGTTCTAATGGAAGATTATTTACACTTATATGCCATATTAAATGACAAACATTTGATCAAAAATCAAAGATTTTTAAAACATAGATTAAAATATATCAAATAAAATTTTTTTTATCATTTTAACTCTCTCTTACACTTAGTCTAACATACTTCATTGTAATGTCTTTACCTATAGTTTTCCCATTTGCATTGATAATCAATTAATGAAGCAACCTTACATGACTATCCTATCCAAAACTTCAATCCTTCTATGCATAAGAATTATGGAAATTAACCATGAAAAAATATTTACAACTTCACTGTGGCATCATTTTTGATATTTTTACAAATATAACTTAAATGAAAAGTCCACAAAATAGTAATTAAATACCTGCAAGTGTTCTTCAATGTCTTTCCTATCATAAGTTATTCCACTGGGTGTAATTACAGGATCTCGCATGACCTCAAAGCTTATCTTTCCACATAAATAGTCAGGTACATCACGTTTCTATTTAAATATTACTGTAGTAATTTAGGTTTAAAAACAATATATGTGAAATTCATAATTTTAAAACTATTACTTTATAGTTATTACAGTTTTTACAACAAGAAATAAATTCTGTACTCGTACAAGTGAAGTTAGTATTCTTCTGTTAATACAATCAATTAAAAATGAAGTACAGAAAAGAGAACTCTACAAATTCTGAAGAAACATATGTAGTTGCAACTATTTCAAGTGATGCAAAATAATAAGTTAAGTAACAGGTGGTAACATTTTCAAATTTCAATACATTAAATAAAGATAAGTGTACAAGAGATGCACAGATACGAATATTCTTTACAAATACAAGAAAACTTTCAAATTAATTATCAGTATCATAATTAAAAGGTGAGTTATATATATTTAATTGATACGTACACACAGTAAGGCTAAGAAATAAAATACACTTCCAATGTATAAATTTATTTTGCAAGACAAATAACATCTTAAATTTCCCAAAAGCTTTCCACGATCATTTACACAAAACTATTAAAACAGTTATTTTTTTATTTTCACTTACCCTTCTCCTATCATCAATTTTGGCAAATAAACCATTCACTTCATCTATATATTCATCCTGAAATTAAGAGTAAAACAAGAATTTCAAAAAAATCAAAAAAAAATCATAAAATCTTTATCAATGTATTTCTTTTCTCTATGTACTAATCCAAGACAGAAAACTCAAATTTTAGTACTAATTCACCCAAATCTTTACTAAAATTACAAAATCTTTATCTTCATGTTGTCAAGACAAGAGCCTATAAACCTCTTCTTCAGTCACTTCTTTCACCAGGAACTGAAACAAAGGGCAGAAATGAAAACACATAAACAGGGCACAATGAGGCCTAAGCCAATGGTAAATAGCTCCAGAGGAAGAAATGTCCCAAGGTAGAGAAAATTTTAAGATATGGGTAGCAAATGATGGGTGTTGATACATTTCAGGGCTTTTGCTTGTTAAAAAATAAAACATTAAAATCAAAAGTATTATGCATATTTTACCAATAAAAGCAATTACTGTTTAGCTCTCTGATGTTGAAAAAAGTCATTCAATTGGTAAGACAATTCATCAGTCACACACATATATACTTAATATACGTATTATAAAAACAAGAACATTTATACAACAAGGACTGTATCAATTTGTACACTACAAAAACATTGCATATGCAGTCACTACTAATGGTTAAATATAGTACAGCCAGATACAGTTAACAAAATGTGCTTGGAGGTGTGTCAACTTTGCTGGCTGATGAGTTCTGACATAAGTGCAATACTTTGTATTTTCTCACAGCACAGGGTTTTATAAAGAAATCATCCTGACAAGTGAGTCTCTACAATACTTGTTGAATTTACTACATAACAGATTGCCAGGGATGGGGAAGAGGGTATTGAATTGATTATAATTAGGCTTAGAACAATCAAATATAACTAGAAAGGGTATTCTGACCATTGCAAGTTCTTGCAGCACAGTTTCAGTTAATTGAGGCTCTGATAAAAGTGGCAAGGCATTGCTGAAAAAGGCATGGCAAGTCACCCCTTTAAACATTGCCAGTGAAGGTACTGTCAATAAACATAACCATAACACACTTTTTAATAACAATTGATTTTGTGCATCATCTTCTTCAGAGATTTTAATGTTTGATGGCTATTAATTTAAATGAATAATGTACAAGATTATAAAAACACAGTGGGTTTGTTTGTTTTTGAATATTGTGCAAAGCTACACGAGGGCTATCTCTGCACTAGCCATCCATAATTTAGCAGCAAAAGATGAAAGGCAGCTAGTCAACACCACCAACTCTTGGGCTACTCTTTTACCAATGAATAGTGGGATTAACAGTCACATTATAACACCTCTATGGCTGAAAGAGCAATCATGTTTGGTGGGACGGGGAATCGAACCCGTGACCCTAAGATTGTGAATCAAGTACCCTAACCACCTGGCCATGGTGGGCCAAAAACACAGATGGAAGAAAAAGTAGGTACTACCACTTTGTTGAATGTTTTTTTTGTGATTTACTGACTTTTATTCTAAATGTTTTTATGGTGTTCAATTCATGTTTCACTCATTTTGTGTACTAGAAAGAATCAAGTATATACATGCATACAAAAAAAATATAAAAAAAGATACACAGTAGCAAGAAAAAAAAAAGATCTAAAATAATTCAGCAAAACAACTACTTACTTATAAACTATTGCTCAAAATTTTAACATCGTTTTAAAATTAGGGGCAGCTAGTACAAGTAGCTTTGTGTGAAATTCTACAAAAAATCTCTCCCTTTCTCACCAAAAATTCACATATCTGTTACATTGTTCCTCTATATTTTTAAAATAATTATAATATTGTAGTTCTCTTTGGTAGGTCTAGTAAGCTACCAAAATGTAATGTTTTCACTTAATTTGCAAGTTATTAGGCTTAGAGCAATCTTTCAACCCCTTATTGAGCTTCACTCAGACAACATTTTAAAAACACTGCAACAAAATGGAGCACCAATAACTGATAAAAAAAATATTTCTAAAGCTTTGAAGAACTCATAAGACTATCAAAGATTATAAAGGTATTATAAAAGATATATAACTCAGGGTCTACAGAAGGTGGGGACTAAGCACTGTCTTCTAATTGTATTTAATTTAGAAAGTTAACTGAAAGACTAGCAATGAAATGGTCTATCAACCTATTTCTACTTTATGACATTTAGAGTGACACACCATACTTTTCTTAGGATGACCGAGGCAGTTCAGCCCATTTCCTGGATTGGTGTAATGAAGTGACTACTGAAATTCAGTGTATATATAAAATAAAAAATTCAGTTCTTTCATAGCAATGTGTACACATTTCCATTTAAAAGATATAATACATATTCCAAATATGCTAAGGTACTTTCAACCAAAAAAATGTGCTAGAATCATCAGCAAGAAAGAATCCAGAAGGAAGTAACAAACAGTAATTATCCTGAGTGTGGGGAAAATGTACAAATTACAGCTGAGTGACTAACTCAATTAATTGATTACCTATGACAACTGAGTGCATTGATTAATGTCAAGTAAAATAATTAGTCAAAAATAGTGTTTCAGATTATTCCAACTATCCAAATAATCAAAATATTACCACTATGATTTCTCTATTTTCTTCGATTAATTCAAGTTTGTTAACTTTAATCAGTTAACTCGCAAAAATAATCAACCAATCAAAATTATGGTTTTTGATTATTAGTATTTTCAATTATTTCAACTAACTAACCAAGTAATTATGATTTATCAAATTCTCCATATTTTTTCAATTAATTCAAATTTGTTCAGCTTAAGACAGGCATAGCCAGGTGATTAGGGATGATTGGCTCATGATTAGTGGATCTTGGATTTGATTCCTTTTGCAGCTGTGTATAATGTAGCTAACATGTTTGCCCTTTTACCCACCGGGATGTTACATTTGTTTCTTTGTTTTTGAATTAAGGCTATGCTACTAAGGCTATCTTGCCATCATCCCTAATTCTGAACTTTCATCCATAGGGAAGGCAATTGTCCAGCAGCACCTACCAACAATTCTTTGACTAACAAGTGAAACATTAATTTACTTCTTTTTTTTTTACATTATGTTGTTTCTAATTTAGAATTGTGAAATTTATCTTTAAAGTTAAATAAGGTGTAAAATTACTGTTTTTTCCATTGGACTGCACTGTAATTTATAATTAATGTAACTGTATTTTTTAGTGTTAAATAAACCATAAAGTTATTTTTTCTACTTGTGTATGCATTATGTTTGAAACATCACACCTCTTACTTTATTGAACTGTGATCTGGTAGAAGTTGTGACATGCATTGGCACATCTCAAATCCACAACTTTCCAAGCATGAAGCAAACACTCACAAAGCAGTATTCTTTATCTACTTAATCATGCTAGCTTTTTAACCATAAATTACAGATGCAAATGTATAAATTGATTTTCAATAATCAATTACCAATATCAGTATATCAATATAAATTAAAATTTGCAAATATCAATCATTTTATTAAGGTAACAAAACAAAAACACAACACAAAATTTATTCTACATTGTACTTCACATCATATGGTGTAATACTATAAAACATACTCTGTGATTATGTATCAAATGGCTGTGTCCACATAAAGCCTTCATAAGGCCAAATGAAAAAAAGTTGTCTGCAATAACTCTACTGATCCTAGAGAGAAAAAAACCTCCCAACCATAAATATTATATTTTTTTCTCCAAAACTGTCTACAGATTATAGCTACATTCACTGATCTGCAACATTTTTACCTGTTATCTTTGATTGGAACTAGCACAAAAAAGCCAACATTTCAGTGGTTATAATGAATTGATATTAAAAAATCATTGTTATTATATTCTGTCATTATCATGCTCATATTTTTGCTAATACACTCTATTGAACAATTTATCGTATGTTGCTTCTTACGATTTCTGTATAACTTTCACATTTTTTGTTTTCCCAAGACAATTTGAAACTTTTTAAAAGCCATGTTTATTTCAGTTTATCAATATGAACTATACCAGTAACCTTTTTTGAGCAACAATTTTTTCAAAGTATCTTTCTCTAACAATCCAACTGTATAACGTAAGTTGAAACATGATGATCTACATACTATTAAATGTGTTAGTATTTATCAAAGTTACTCTCACTTTATGATATTTCTAAACAGTGAACGTATTGATTCAGAGAAGTGTGCCAAGTGTGCACGTGTTAGTAGGCCTCTCATATGTTATGACCAGGGAGTGTTCTCTCATTCATTTCAAAAATTCAAATTGCAAAATACCTTGTTTTCAAGTGTACATAATTATCAATCTAACCTACGTAGGAGTTTAACTGCATTGTTTTTAAAACAAAGTTTTAAAAGGGCAATTTATTGTGCATGTGATGTAATACTCGAAAATAATATATTGTTTATGAAAAGTTTGGAAATTTTATTTTTCGGGGGGATAATTTTAGCATATTAAAAAATATTATTGTATATTCCAAAAATTTGCATTCTTTCACAAAAACTTATAGTTCAGAAGTTCAACAATGCCTACATATTACTGTAAAAGAGAAAAATTTAAATATTACAATTCTCATATTATTGATTTGGTTTAATAATTCAAATTATTATTATTTTATTAAGTTGAAGTTTGATGGTTTGTATTAAAATGCATAGTTGATGTTAATGATAATTTTATAAAGAACTCCTAGACTTTATTAAGTAGATTTGGCATGGTGCATATAAATAAAATAACTTCCCTAGTATATTTTAATCAAATGTCTATTAGGTTATTTCTGTGTTAGAAACAAGGACTTCACCCTAATACACATAGAAGGGAAAAAATAAAGCATATTTGCTAACAGAACATATAAAAAAAAACAGAATGTAACTTAATTCTTGATTTGATAGAATGCATAAAAAACATTATCTCAATAATAGTTTGCTACATTGCACTCAGCGTGATAATGTTTAAAAAGAAAAAAAATTAGAAAAATAAAATAAAATTCTTACTTACCTGCTCCACTTTCTCCTGACAATGTTACCATAAACAGAGAATTACATTTTTCTAGACTAATATG